GCCTCCCAAGCACTAGGATTACAGGCATGTGGTATCACACCCAGTTTAGACGGATGGTCTAACTACATTCCTCCTAGTAATCAATGAGGTCAGTTATCATTCCCTTTTAGAGATGGAGAGACTGAGGCTCAGAAAGGCCAAGACACTCAACCGAGAGCTGGGACTCATGCTAGATTTGAACTCCCTGGCTGCCTGTCTTGTACTCCCTCTGTTCCTAAGGTCTCCACTGTCATGTCTCCAGTGGCCTCTGATCATGTGACTTTGTTCTAGGGGAGGATCTAAGGCTCTAAGGGCTTCTTAAAGTGCCTGGCTCAGGCTCCAAGGCATTTGTGCCCAGACTAAGGTGGGACGACCCCGCGGATGCCAGATGTCACCACCAGAGGGCGCAGCGTGGCCCAGGTAAGGGTTGGGGGGCTTTCCCACGTCTGGAGAAACAGCAGGGTCGAGGTTGCTGGGTCGAGGCTGCCCCCTCATGGAGTCCGGGGAGTCCTCTGTCGCCTTCCCCTCTCTGTCAACAGAGCTCTTGCTGACCCTTCCTCCCCCAGTTCCTGCTTGGCTCAGGAGTCAGGTTTCTCCGGCGTGGGTGTAAAGAGGGTGTAAGGAGCCCGGGGTCTCCCCCCAGATCGCGTGCCCGCTCCCTTCTGCTCCCTCCTCCCCAGCGCCACTCCCGGATGGCCTTCCGTAGCGCCAGTGCCGAGACTGTGCCAAACACCAGATCACCACCTCTGTCACATCTCAGCCTCTTCACAAGTGTGTGTACGGGGGGTGCACAGCCGGTGGGGAGGACCGAGAGATGGTAGGGCAGCACCCTTGCACTCAGCCGGCAGAGGGCCCCGTGGGTACTCGGGCAGGACAGTGGCTGCGCAGCACTGCAGTGGTGGTGGTGGGGAGCCCCGGGCTCCTTCCGCGCGGCCACCGCCTCCGTTTCCTCCGCCTCACCTCCCACCCCTTGGGGGGAGGACCCCCATCGCCCCCAGGTTTCAGTCAGGTTTCTGCCCAGGTCCGGTTGCCCTCCCTCCTGCGCCCCAGGCCTGCGTCCCTCCCTCCCTTCCCAAGCTTAGCCCCTGGGCCATGGCCACCAAGGACCTGGCCAGGGTCCCAGGCACCACACCGCAGAGGCCAGCCGCGCTCCTCGCTCAGGACAGTCCCAGTCTGTCTGGCAGGGCTAGCGGGCTGAGGATTGGCTCCAGCTGCCCCCGCCTTTGGGAGGAGGGAGGCCGGGTGGCTCACCCAAGGTCACCCTTCTTTTCTTTTCTAGCATCCCTGTGTGACCTTTGTCCTCTCTGCCTCACCTTGAGGGAGGGAGTCCAGATGCCCAGCAGGCAGAATACGGGGCTGGCAGAAAGAAATGTTCTGTGGGCTGCTGACTTTATTCCTTCTACAAATGCTGCCCACTGTGTGCCTGGCCCTGAGAACAGAGCCCTGAACGCAGAAATTCACACAAATCAAGTGCATTTGTGTCTGTGAGCCGCCGTGTGGCAAATCGCCAAGCCCTTGGCTGGCCAAGGCTGGCGTCTTGGGATGTGAGGAGTCAGGGGCTTTTTTTGGCCTAGGCAAAGGAAGCTTCGGACAGAGGGCTGTATGACGACGGGGCAGAGCCTCAGTCTCCTCATCTGGAAGAGCAGCCTGGTTGTGAGCTTGGGCTTGCTTACAGGCAGCCTGCATGCTGGCTTGCAGCCTTCAAAAAGAAGGCGCTGTTGTCCCCCTCCTAGGGGAAGGATGAGTAGGACTCAAGGGCCAAAATGGCGGGTAGGACTTTCCCGGGAGACCTGCGGCCCCTGCTCAGCTTGCAGGTGGCCTCAGGGAGGTAAGGGACCCCTATCCGTGGCCCCTTCCCCCACCAGGGTAGAGAGGAGGGGCTGGCCCCTAGGCTGCCTCTCCTCCACTCCCACCCCAGGTTTCTGACCACGTGGCACCCCTGCACCCCCACCTCCGGGGGAGGGTGATTTCTGATCTGGGGGGTTGGGGAGCAGAGAAAGGTGGGTGGGACCAGGGGTAGGCTGTGACCTGGGCCTGTGGCACAGCCGCACCCACAGCCCAGTGCAGCAGGGAGGGGGTGCTGTCTCTTTAAGAGCCTTCAGGCTGCTGGGAGCAGATGGCCAGGCCGGCCGGGGCCCCTTGTCCTTTGTGTGCCTTTGCACAAAAGAGGGGGCCAGCTGGGGAGGGGGCGGCTGCAGCAGGTGGGAGGGGTGGGGCCTTTCCCCTCCCCCTCCCAACCCTGCACCCTTGCCCCTTGGGAGGAGGCTGCTCACTAGGAATGCACCTCCTCCAGGGACCCAATGATTCCTACAGTCACCCCCAAACTCTCACTGTGCCCCTGCTGTGCTGTCGCACCTCCCGGACAGAAGCCTCCACGTGTAGGGGCTTAGGGACCCCTCCATTCCAAGGAATAAACCTCCCCTCCCTGCCCCCACCTTCAGAGGCGCTCTTCCTCTGACTCCCAGAAGTGAGACCAGACCTGGGGGGGGCAGGGGGGATGGGCCAGAGGGGAGCTTTGGCCTGGATCACATAGAGGGTGGGGGTGGAGGGTACCTGGGGCATCACTGGAAGAGGAAGGCAAGAAATAGGCATGGTGCTGAGGCTGAGGCCTGGGGTGTGGCGAGGGTCCAGGAGAGGGGTGGGGGACCCAACTAGGGCACTGCCTGATGGGAGGCGGCCTGCAAGATGAAAGGCGCCTTGGGAGGAGAGGGTGGTGTGCACAATGGTTGCCTGCCAAGCAGAAGGGGACAGAGACTAGAGCCTCCCTAAAGGGTGGAGGCCCTGGGCGCAGGGATGGCTCCCTGCCACTTCGGAGGGGCCAGCCTGGGAAGGAGCAGTTCATCTTGGAGCAGACCCTTTCGCTTAGAGCGGTCCCTGGTCCACTGGTCCATTCATTCGCCTCCTTTGTGGGACGTTCTCACCCCGGGGCTCCATGCCCAGTCCATGATTTAAGAGGTGGAAAACGGCCCCGTATCCCTGGCCCGAGGTGTGGCGGGCAACGTGGCCGCTGGCTGGGTGGCCTCTTGGGGCCTGACAGTGCAGCAGCCGGGTGGGGTCGTGTGAGCCTCGGCCAGGGTGCCCGCTGAGAGCCCCTAGGGACTGGCAGCCCCAGCCGGGTCGCGGCCGGACCACAGGCAGGGG